AAATAAATTTCATTTCAAATCTGTATTATTTTTTTTTTAAAACCAAATATTGATTTTTCATTCAAAATTATATTTAATTGATTAATAATCATATATTTATCTAAATATAATTTAAAATTTATTTTAATTTAATACTTCAAAAAATTAAAAAAAAAATACCAATACATGAAATAAATTTTAAAAAATTACAGAACAACTCTACTAATATAAATCATTTCAAAAAAATTATAAATAAGCTGTACAAATAAAAATAAATTACAATATGAAATAATTATTAATTATTAAAAATAATAACAATAATATCTACCCAAATTATTTCAAAAATTAAAAATAAAAACTAATGTTATTCAATAACATTTCCATAATCAAATCTTATAAAATATAACTTATACAAAAATAATATATATATATATATATATATATATATATATATATATATATATATATATATATATATATATATATATATATATATATATATATATATAAACTAAAACACCCCAACCAGCCCAACTAACCCATCTGTATATATAAATATATATGGCCCATAATACTAATCCAGCCCACAAGCCCATACCCGATCCAAACCATAAACAAATAAAATCATACCGCCTCACATCAGACCCCAAGTTCCCCTCTCCCATTCCCATCGCCTTCTTAGTCACTCTGCCTGAACACTTCCAAGCTCATCAAAAATGGAAACCGTGCCAAATCACTAACAACTACCTACAATCGAAGCTATAACTACACCAAAACAGCGCAAATATGATCGCAATTTCATCATTTCTAACTCTAAAACCCATAACTCAGCAGATCCAAACTCTTTTACCACAAAGAGTTCAACGGAGAAAGAAGATGTTCAACGATAGCGAATGAAAGAACCTACCTTATTAGGTAATCTTTATTTCATTCTTCAATCTACTCATCTATTTATACCTATCTTCACACAAACTCTAATTTTTTTCTTAATACAATTTGTGGATAAAAACACAGTGAAACCATATGCAAAAAGCTCAACGATTATGTAGTAGAACACGAATTGGAAGAGAAAGAAACATACCAACAGAGATAAGTATCTTATTCGTATTTTTTTTTATTTAGCGAAAATATGAAAAATCAGCAACTATAATTTCTATATGATGTTTAGGTTTTTCAATTTTGATGGTTTTTATGGCATGCAGGTATATTTCTCTGCAATTTTAATTGAATAATTGCTTCGATTATTTCATTGAGATATAGTCCTAATTTGTTCAATTTTTTAACTGTTCTAGGTTCACTCTCAGCATGTTTAATAATTTCATGATTTTTTTATTCTAATTTTTAACAACATATTATTATTGTTTGATATCAATTTGGTATTTCAATCTCAGTCTACTATAATCATTTGGTATGGTTGATTCTGATAAATTAAAATCTCATGCATACCTATATCTATTTTGTACTCTATTAATCTAAGATGATTATGGAAACTTGACCTTGTAAGTGGCCCAACAATCTGATACACTAAAGATGTGTGATTTGCCTAGAGCAGAGGTGAACTTAAATTAAAGCATTTTTACTTTTTTTTTTTAATCAATTTACTAATTACTCCCATATTTTACTGGGAATATTCACAGGTATTAGTCAGTGTTATTCATTTATATTGTATGTTTATATTTTGTGGCTCAGAATAGATTGACTTGAGCTTCTCTGTTTGTTAGGAGAACTCTCGTTAACTTATGCTTTATATATTCTGTAATTTCATTCTGTTATAATTTAATCAATGAAATTAATATTCTAATTTGGTATTAGATAGGTAACGATCTCTTCGTTTATCTCTCCACCTTACCCCCTCAATTCGCATCGCAACAAACCTCTTCCCGAAACTATGTCGCAATCATCCGAGCGCACAGTTTCTGCCGGTGGCACATCTTCACCGGCGACTTCCAATCAACTCTCCGGCGCACATCATCACGTATCCATCAAGCTCAACAGCAGGAATTTTCTTTTTTGGAGGACTCAGTTAATTCCCTTCCTAAGAGGACAAGACCTGCTGGGCTACGTTGATGGCTCCACGCCATGTCCTCCTGCCACAATTGCCGCGATCGCGGCTGGTGACTCCGGCTCAGGTGCAACGCCGGCGTCCGGCGTCTCTCCCAATCCAGTGTACAAGGCCTGGATTCTCCAAGATCAATCCATCCTCTCGATGTTGATCTCCTCCATGTCCGACGAGGTGCTGCACCTTGCGATCGGACGAGAGACTGCCGCGGCACTCTGGACATCCATCAACACGGCATTGGGTTCTTCCACGCAGGCGCGCTGTCTAAGCCTTCTTGGACAATTTCAGTCACTGAGGCAGGGCGGTTCGTCGACCGCTGAGTATCTGGGGCGTGCCGGGGTGATCGCGGAGGCGCTAGCTCAAGCTGGAAGACCCCTCTCCTCCTCCGAGCAAATGTTGTATGTGATGCGTGGTTTGCGGCAAGACTTGCGGATTATGGCAGCTTCTTTGACTGCCACCACCGCTGCTGTGTCTCTCCCGCAATTGGCAGACTTCCTCCAAGCCCAGGAATTTATCATCTCTGATGATTTCAGCGTTGGGGGTGACAACAATGCAGGGCCGACTGCCATGCTGTTGGGCGAGGCCGAGGGCAGTCCGGCAATGGCCAGCAGTGGCGGGGCGGACGCGGCGGCAATAGGCGGAACAATCGGGGTAGAGGCAACCGGAACGGGCGCGGGACTCCCAAGTGCCAAATTTGCCGTGCTCAGGGACATACGGCAGTGTATTGTTATAAACGATACACGACACAACCACCGGCCGAAGCACATGTAGCCACAACCGGCGAACCTCCCGTGACGCCGTCGGCAACCTCTTCGGATGGCAGGTTTCCGGACACAGGCGCCACCGCCCACGCCACCCCGGATGCGAGCATGTTGACGCGCTCAGATGAATACACCGGGCCCGATGTCCTACGAGTCGGGAACGGCGCAGGTTTGACTATCTCTCGCGTCGGGCATGCATCGATTCCTTCCGAGTCCAAAACTCTTAGTTTGTCCAATGTGTTACATGTCCCCACTTTATCCGTTCCATTATTGTCAGTTAATAGATTTACAAAAGAAAACGGAGTTTATTTTGAATTTCACAGTGATTTTTTTTTTTTTTTTGTGAAGGATTCCAAAACTAGGGTCACTCTGCTTAAAGGGCCAACCTCTGGGGGATTGTACAAGCTTCCGCTCTCTCACTCCCACATTGCCTTTGTCAGTTCCCGGGCCACTCCTGAAATATGGCACTGCAGACTAGGACATCCGCATGGTGTTGTCCAAGATAGAATTCTAAAGAGCTGTCCAGTTTCTACCAATAACAAAAATTCATTAAAGTCGTGCGAGTCGTGTCATCTCGGCAAATCATGTCGGTTCAAATTAGATAATGTCACGCATACTAGTACGAATGTGTTAGACTTAATATTCACGGATGCATGGGGCCTAGCTCCTGTAGTTTCGAGTACTGGTTACCGTTATTTTCTTCTGTTTGTAGACGACCACTCCCGTTTTTGCTGGTTTTATCCTTTACGGGTAAAATCAGACGTTTATAAAATATTTGAATTGTTTCGTGTGATGGTAGAGCGACAATTTTCGCGCTCTATCAAAAGTATACAATCTGACCTGGGGGGTGAATATCAAAAGTTAAACACACGTTTCCAAACACTGGGTATTAATCATCGTAAATCATGTGCCTACACACATGAACAGAACGGACGAGTTGAGCGCCGTAACCGACATATAGTCGAAAAGGGTCTTGCTTTACTCGCCGAAGGGTCCGTACCAATGGAGTATTGGGACTTTGCGTTTGAAACCGCAACGTGTCTGATTAATTATCTACCGACTCCCGTACTAAACTATGAAAGTCCCTACTCTCTTCTACACAAAGTGTCTCCACCATACACGTTTCTTCGAGTCTTCGGGTGCCTGTGCTATCCTTATCTGCGGCCTTACAATCGCCATAAGATAGAATATCGCTCAGCACCCTGTGTCTTCCTTGGATACTTTAGGGGATATCGATGCATGGATCGTACAACAGGGAAAGTTTATATCTGTCGTCACGTCCGGTTTGACGAGATGGTGTTCCCTTTCTCCATTGGGACCCCCGCCCCGTCTGCTACTCCGGAGCCTACACCGTGGGCCTCTGGGCCCATAGTCCCGAGGCTTGCCCAGATGGTCCCACGTCCGGATGTTACACCGGAGGCCTCAGCGTCTGAACCTATGCCGTTAGCCTTTGAGCCTGGGCCGTTAGCTATTACCAGGCCACCTCGGCGCAGGGCTAAACGGCAACGCACTGAACCTCAAGAACGGGGTCACACTATGCGTCTTCGGCATCAGACTAGGGGCACGAATGAGTCCTTTCAGGTCCTTAATGTAACTACTGATCCTACATGTTATTCCCAGGCTGTAGGACATCCCGAGTGGCGAGACGCCATGGATCAGGAATTCAACGCCTTGCTACACAACAGCACCTGGCGTTTGGTTCCACCAGCCCCAACATGAATATCATTGGCTGTAAGTGGGTGTTCCGCACCAAACGCAGGGCAGATGGCACAGTTGAGCGCTTCAAGGCGCGCCTGGTGGCCAAAGGCTTCAACCAGGTAGCTGGCGAGGATTTTTTTGACACCTACAGCCCGGTGGTAAAACCGACTACGGTTCGGCTGCTGTTTTCTCTTGCTATCTCCTCCAGTTGGACGATGCGTCAGCTGGATATCCATAACACCTTTCTGAATGGGCATCTAGCTGAGACAGTCTACATGAAGCAGCCACCAGGGTATGAAGATCCGACACACCCGGGTGATGTGTGTCACCTGCAGCGCTCGTTATACGGGCTAAAACAGGCCCCGAGGGCCTGGTTTAAGAGATTACATGACTTCTTGATTCTTGCAGGGTTCAAGTCATAAAAAACTGATGTCTCTTTATTTCACTACACTGCCGCTACATCTCGGGTATATCTACTTGTCTATGTAGATGATATCATCATGATGGGCAATGATGAGATGTTGATGCACACCTTACTACACCGGCTTGCCTCGGCTTTCAAGATCCGTGATCTTGGTGAACCGGGTTTCTTTTTAGGGATCGAGACCATATCAGTAACTGGCGGGATGATTTTGTCTCAGAGGCGATACATGACGGATCTACTTAATCGTGCCGGGATGCTTGACTGTAAGCCGCTTACCACTCCAGCAGCTGTCACGGTGTCAGTGTCTTCAGATGCCGCTCCCTACGCCAACCCCACTCAATACAGACGCATTGTGGGGGCACTCCAGTATTTGACGATTACGAGGCCAGACTTGTCCTACTCGGTAAATCGTTTGTGTCAGTTTATGCATGCGCCGACAGACGACCACTGGGGTTTGGCTAAACGAGTGTTACGTTATATCAAGGGCACTCTAGACTACGGCTTACGTATTTCTCCGTCCACGTCCACGACTATCCAGGCGTTCTCCGACTCTGACTGGGCAGGTTGTCCGATTGAACGAAAGAGCACAAGTGGTTATGCTGTTTTTCTTGGGACTAACTTAATTTCGTGGCTATCCAGAAAGCAGCGTACGGTTGCACGTTCCTCCACCGAGGCAGAGTACAAAGCCCTAGCCGATGTGTCCGCAGAAGTGACTTGGGTAGTTTCTTTACTGAAGGAGCTTGGACTGCATTCCTCCCATCCGGCCACTTTGTGGTGTGATAACCTAGAAGCGACGTATTTATGTGCAAACCCTGTCTTCCATGCGCGAACAAAGCATGTCGAGATTGACTATCACTTTGTTCGGGACAAGGTTGCCTCCGGAGACTTTGTCGTTAATTTTGTGTCAACCAAAGACCAGCTTGCAGACATCTTCACCAAGCCGCTGACAGGACCACGGTTCACTCAACTTCGTGACAAGCTCAATGTTGTCTCGCACCAACCTTGTGCTTGAGGGGGTGTATTAGTCAGTGTTATTTATTTATATTGTATGTTTATATTTTGTGGCTCAGAATAGATTGACTTGAGCTTCTCTGTCTGTTAGGAGAACTCTCGTTAACTTATGCTTTATATATTCTGTAATTTCATTCTGTTATAATTTAATCAATGAAATTAATATTCTAATTACAGGTAGTTGTTTCTTCAAACCCTAAACTCCTACACTTGTGCAGTTTTGATTTGTTTATCATATTTCAGGATACAATGGGGGTTGAACATAAAATAGCTGCACATCATAAGAGAAAGAAGTGCTACTCTCATGTTGTCAAGATTTCTCTTTTTAACAACAAATAATCGGCATTCAGTGATGTGCATTTTGTAATCATACTACAACACATCTTATGTGTTGTAAGCTTTGGAAACCATATTTACAAATTTTTAAGTTATAGAAACTTTTCTGTTCATTGATTTCAGCTTCATAGAGCACATTGGTCAAGATGTGAATGTTTTAGTTGATATCACTCTCAATTTGTATATGTTAATTGGTTCAATAATAAAAATTTCTAATTATGTGAAGCAAGATTAGTTGACTGGAAATAGAAACATAATGTTTCAATGGTATCTGATGATATTTACAAAGTTGTTTTGTCTTTCTAAGATAACAGCATGTACAAATGACTATTTGCTGGTTTTGCATAGCTATATTCTTTTGTCTGAGTAAGGTCTAATACCATATTAGTGTGACATATCTGCTAGATATATGACTGGTCTATTTCAACTCATATAGCAGAATCTGTAACACTCCATTTCACTTTGTTTTTGGTAGATCACAATCAACCAACACATGAAGCCAAAGAGGTTATAAAAAAAAAAAAAAAAAGAAAGAAAGAGAGAATTTGCTATACGAAAAATTACATTTGCTGTGATGGAGATGTTGAACACCCTTATGTTCCTGATGTCTTTATTGCATTCACCTTATTAAAATGCACCATTTGAGAGAGAAAGGCATCAGTAGAGGATGGAAGCCATCAATTTGTCTGGATTCTCAGGTGGGCAATTCAATTACCACTTATCAACTATTACATCCAAACCTTTAGAATAATTAAATCAAATCTTACATTTACACTGTATTTTTTATTAGAAAACTTATTTGATTTTTGTGATTGTGTGAGGCACATCTAAATGAAGATCACTGGACTATCAAAGGCATGAGCATGGCAAAAAAAGGGAGGAAAATAAGGAATAATGACTTCAAGATGCTGGTAGGTAACAACTGTACTCTTCGCTGTGGTATTTTGAAACCTAGACAATAATTCCAAATATAAGCTACACTTACTATCTCCTTTATAATACCAGAATTAACAACATGTTCTTTTTTTTTTTTTTCATATAAGTTACATGTTTATCAAGAACACTGGAATCCAGAAGTTAAATAGCCAGCTAAAAAATGAAAGGGGAAAAATAATAAGTTAAGAATTTGACTCCCTTCATGACTATGTATATCGTATTTCAAGTAGAGGATTAACATTACAGACAAAAATGAATGCTTTTAGAACTAACTTTTTTTTTTTTTTGGGGAATGTAGGGCAATCCCAAAGAACATTGAAGTAAGAAGGGCAACCACACTTAAATCAAAAAGGTTAAAGGAAGAAGGGGATCCCACCAAACAAAACATTGAAGAAGCAGACGCAAGGTAACCCTTACAATTTAAAGATCAGATTTTACTGGTAGCATATTAAACAACTTGTTGACACATAAACTATCCTAGGCACAGAAACATTAGGTAAATACCATTAGATAGGAACAAAATACAGCTGCTAAAGAACAACAACAACAAACATAGGTAAAAAAAAACATAAAGAGTCCATAACAGTCAGGAGCAAACAAAGATGATAATCCCAAAATAACAACCAACACTACATTACACAGTTTCTCACTTCTCCTGCTTAATAGTGACTGCCTTAGACTTCTTAGAAACTCCTTGGTCTTCAAATTCCTCCAGAAGGCTTCTCTTGAGAGGGAGTGAATCAGATGCATTCACTACTTCATTGTCAATACCATCCAGTCCATCACAGTCCTCATCATTCAATACCCAAAAGTCCTAAATCCAGTAAAATAAAATAACATTAACAACCTAGAACCTTAGACAATTAAAGAGTGAACCAAATAATCACATACCTCAGAACCATCACCTTCATCCACCTGAGGACCTAAACCCTGAGGAACCTGTGTCAATGGACTGTCAACCACCACACTTGAGCTGTGCTGGGAAACCACTTCATTATCAATAGAAACACTAAGTACATGGAATGGTGATTGCAAACTCTGGAGCTGGTCCTTAGAAACAGTAACTCGAAACAACAAAACCATTCCAGCAAGTTGTTGAAGCTCAACTGGAACAAAATCAACCATTTGTGAGTACATAGACCTCAACTCCACAGCTGACATGCCAATCAATCGGGAACACTCTCGATCCCACACGAGCATAGGAGCATCCCCACTCTGGTCAGCAACACGCAAGACCACCCTATATCTCATAATACCCTCACCCCAAGACCTTAGACATTTCGGACAATGCATTAAACCATTTTCCAACTTGATAACCTTTTTATTGCAAGAATTATTCTTGCAAGAAAAGTAGAACCAGTCCAAGTAGTTCTCAATACCTAGGACCTTCCCAGCAACCCAGAATTGACCCAACTACACCAACAAATGTAGAGCGAAAGATTAATATTAAAAAAAAAAAAAACAAAAGAGAACACTTTAGCAGAAATTGAGAGTTAAAGTGCAGAAAAAGTAGCATAATACCTGTTGATTCTGGTATAATTCAGCAATAGAAGTAACCACAGTATCACTATCAACCATAGGCACATTCAACCTAAGGCCAAACCTAGAATCAGATTGTTTACACCTAAGGGGTGTGTAGTCACTGCCAACACTGCCCAAAAAAGATTTAAAAAAAAAATAAAGAATAAAGAACATAGTTGCAACACTAAAAAAAAAAAAATGTATAAGAGATTACAAATTAAATAGGAATACCTCTTTCTGAAATCAGCAAACACTTTTGATGAATGGTCAAAAATCAACTGCGTTGCATCAAAAGAGCTAGATATCCTAACCTCTCCATCTAATTGTAAACATAAAATGTAAGTACCCTAATAGAGAAAATATAGAAGTATAGGAAGACACACACTCACTTTGAAGGAACCTAGCACGACATAGTTGCACCAAAACAACAACAGGATCACTGAACTCCAGATTAAAGTAAGGCATAAGAAGCTCCACATGTCCACCCCACATTGTGCACTGCAATTGTTTTTTTCTGGAAAAAAGGGGAAAAAGTAAACTGAGTAAAAAATAAGATAAAAGTCGAAAAAGATAGAGTGTGCTAGAAGAACTTATTCAGCATCTTCTATGACAAAATCTATCAACCTTGTAGCTTTCCCACCAATAACCTTATCTACCGGAGAATATATCTCCACAACCCTTCCAATTACATCTAAAAAACAAACATAGAACCATTATAACACAGAAATATAGGTATTGTAATCAGGGAAAGAGAAAAGGAAAAAAAGAAACTTACCAAACAGTTCATTCTCATTCACACCATCCTTCTCCAAAACAGCCCTGAAACTTTTAATACGAAACATACAATCTGGGAAATCAATACGCCTATACTGCTTAACAGCAGTATCAAACTTAAACTTGGTCATATACTTGTGATCACTTGTTTTATATTTGAAGTAGTTGGTGATGCATAAGAAGTTCCTAATCCCATAGACATTGCCCTCTTGAAAGTAAGAGCTGTACTTTTGAACTTGATCCTTAGGTATTTGAACATGTATGAAACTCCCCTTAGATTTACAGAAGCAAAAGAAAGGGAAGAACATTAGAAACTAATAGCAACTACTAAAGATATTATTGCTTTGAACAAAAGGAAAAAAAAAAATACTTACTGCCGAATCATGAAACACACATTCACGACTTCTAATGACTTTCTCATCTGTTCCTTCAAATACCAAATAGGTATGCACCAGACGCAAACGCATTGCCTTAGAAGTCTGCTGAGGATGGATTTCAGAGCAAAGAATAAACTGGCCAGGCATGGTTAACGCTAAGAAGCTTTTGGAGTGGTTTACAGGGAAGAAGAAGATCGGAAGTGGAAGAACATTAGCACAACCTACCTATTTATACTATTAAAGAGTTGTATTACAGATGAAAAACCCATGATTAAAAGTTAGGCATGCGCCGGCAAGCAGTAGAAGGACTCTTCGAAACCAATACAAAATTATTAGAATTAGTCTAGATACACAAAAGATCACATTGGAAATCAACAGCCTAAACACACACGTTTCACAGAGAACAAATGATTACAAAAATCAATCGGTTGTATAAAAAAGAACCAATCAAAAAACAAACAAATCAGAAAAATTCAAAACCCCAAAAATATTAAAAAAACCTAGATATCCTTCCATAAAATAAGAAAAATAAGAAAAAATAAATAAAAGCCAAAATTCCCCCAAAATAGTTTGGGCGGGATTTGGGGGGCAATTTGATTGGCCAAATCTATGGGCTTTATTATATATAAGATTTGACTCTCCCCCCTCAAAAAAAAAAAAAAAAAAAAGAAAAAAGAAAAAAGAAAGAAAGAAAGAAAGTCATAGTGATGTTAATAAGTCTATCAAGAAATATATATATATATATATATATATATATATATATATATATATATATATATATATATATACTTTTCTCAATAGCCTCTCATTATTTTAAATATTCTTATATATACTTAGATGATCTAAACATCGACGGTCTAATTCTAAGTCCACAAGATATTCCTTTCCTCTAAAGCCATTGCAAAAGTAAATCGCAAGTTACGCAATCAGCTCACTAGTCATATCTTAATCTTCATGTGTACACTAGAGATTCAAGTCACACCTTCTATCATCCTGAACTCACACAACCACCTTCAGTCATGACATCAAATCAAGTAACGAACAACTATGCTAAGCCCTAAGAGGCCACTCACTTCTCATTGATTGAGTAGGATGTAGTGAAAAAATAAAAAATAAAGAACGATAATAACTCTCAACAATCAATCCTCACTTTCTCAGTCATACTGTGAATAAATATAAAATATAATTTTGAAGCGTACAATATATACAATTTTAAATAGTGAATTGAAATAGCAATTATATGACATGCTAGACACGTTGAACGGTAAGCAATTTGGATGAGTTAAAATTTTGTCCTAACTATTTCTGAAAATTTCTCAAGTGACTTTATTATTGTCATCGTTAATAACCTTTGGATAAAAGTTTTACAGCACGTTTGGTTCACGGAATGAATTTGGAGGGAATAGGAATGTTATTCCACATGGAATGGAATAGGTAAGGAATAGAATATGAATTGTATCTGTTGTTTGGTTGGCTGAAGGAATAGACTTTAGTAATTGTATTCCAGTGTTTGGTTGGTTAAAGGAATAGAAATGGGATAGGTTTTAAAGACATAAATACCGTTATACATAATAATAATAATAATAATAATAATAATAATAATAATAATAATAATAATAATAATAATAATAATAATAATAATAATAATGAATATGATTATGATATACAGAATGTTATATATATATATATATATATATATATATATATATATATATATATATATATATATTTATTTATTTATTTATTTATATTTATATTTGTATTTATATACATGTATATGCATGTATGTGTGTGAGAGAGAATAACAATAAAAATAATAATAATAATAATAATAATAATAATAATAATAATTATTATTATTATTATTATTATTATTATTATTATTATTATTATTATACAAATACAAATACATATTTATTTTTATATTTATTTTCTCACTTATCCCACATCGGTTGGAGAAGTAAGGAATGGAGCCTTGAGGCTCTTATAAAAGGAGCCTTAAGGCTTCATAATTTTAATTGCAATGCTCATCCGCTAGGCAAGCTTGCAATGCCCATCCGCTAGGCATGCAGATGAGCAGACTACTTAATTTAGGAGCCAAGGCTCCATAACTAAGGAGTCTTATACAATTAATTTTTTTTTATTTACACACACACACACACACACACACACATATATATATATATATATATAAAATAAACTGTCAAGGCCGGTGTTTTGAGAAAGTACTTTTCTTTTCTCAAAATGCCAATTGCAAACGCTACAAAATAGCTATTCCTACGGGCATGGGAATAGCTAATACCAAGGTCCCCCCTAAGAATGACTATTCCCCTTGCAAAGGTAATAGCTCATTCCTAGGCATGCTATTCCCATGGCAAAATGATCCAACCAAACGATGTAATAGGTCTATTCCAAGGAATGTTATTCCATTCCTGACCTATTCCATGAACCAAACATGCCATTAGTGTTTTAGTGATATAATGATAAGAAAAAATGTAAATGCGCTATTCAAAAAATATATTTATGCTATGTTTGATAACATAGTTAGCTTATCAATTAATTTTAGTTTATTTGATCACTGTTAGCTGTTTGACTTGGTTAAACAACAAATATAAGCATTTGATTCATTAGTTTTTAGTAACAACTTACTTTTTTTGTTGAATGTTACTGGCTCTATTACAATGTAGTATCTGTTTATATACTTTTAGTAACAATTTATTACTTCAATATCTTAAAATTTAAAAAAACTGCTCAAAACAATTTTTTCAATCAACTTTTTAAGAAAGTCATTTTGTATGTAACTTAGTTATAAGCTAATTTACCAAACATCTTTTTATAATTCGCTAATGCTATGAACTTATCAAACTCACTAATCTAATTAACTAACAATTATCACATAACATCTATTTACCAATCACCCATTACTTTTGTTGGGTACATCTTATTAATTTAATCACAACGTACCAAAAAAATATAAATTATAATCTCAAAAGTCGAAACACATAATACAATTCTTATAGTACCAAAAATTATATAAAAAGTCATTGCAATTTCACTTTTTGTTCATTAACAAATAGCAATACAACAAAAACATCGCAACTCGATCGAATTAAAATCTAATCCGTCTAAATTATATTGTCATGACTAATGACTATTTCTCGAGGTTGCCCAAGCCTTCAAACCCAGAATTTCTGGCGCAACACAACTTATTGAGGCCAGTATTCTTCAGCCCCAAATCCACCCTCTGCAAAATACCCATTTCTGGCCTTTTCCCATTCCTGCAAAAATTTCAAGAGAGCAGAAAAAGAGAAGATTTCCATTAAAAATTCTGTCTTTATTCTTGTTCTTGGAATGATTCCATTCCTGCTACTTCAACTGAGTATCATTGATACAAAAAAATTCCCATTTTACCTCTTGTGATCTGGTTTCCATCTAGCTCTAAGCTTCTCATCCAATCTCTGCTTGGCTTCTCTGGCAACCTCACCCATCATCTCATCATGGTAGGCCTGTGTTAAACCACTCCCCTGCTAATGATTCACAAAAACATCAGATTTCACAAACCAACCCACCATCCCAACCAAAACACAAGTAGGGAAGAAACCAAAATTTGAAACTCGCCCCAATAGTGTGGGAATTATGTCTAAAGTGAACAGATCTCTTGTGCGCACAATATTTGGTCGGGTCTACTAAGCACCAAAATTTGAAATTCGACCCTGACAGTGTGAAAATTATATCTAAAGTGGACAAATCTCTTGTGCACACTGACATTTGATCATGTCTGTTGAGCTACTGAATTATCGTATTTATCTCATCTCACATTCTGTGTAGAGCCGTGGCGTGAGGCCCTTTAGGTTGGAGATTCAATCTTTTGGAAGAGGAGAAGAAAAATTAAAACAAAAACATCACTAAATCTTGAAAGAGTTGTGGGGATTGGTACCATGGAAGGGGATGAGTTGTTGCTAGTGTACAAACAAAAGAAGGATTTTCTTGTGCTTGAGAAATAGGCAGATGGAGAAGAGGGTGAATCCAACAACACCCTATTGCTCTGATGAAGTCTCCTCCTCCTTGCACACTCAACACCAGGGAGCATGCCAGACATTTTTCAAGAAAATTGTGTGTGGGCAGGATGAAATTTAATTTGTGGAAAAGTTTTGGTCTTTGTATAGTATATGATATGATGTTGGGAAAGTTTTGTGGAGATTGAGGAGAAGTTTGGTTGGTTCTTCTTCAGCTAGAAATTACGTTTGGGGGAATTGAGGATTGCGTGAATACGAAGTTGTTTGGATGTAGAACGCAGAAAACATGATGAAATAGTAGGGAATTACGAGGAAACTTCAGGTTTCAAAAAAAAAAAAAAAAACTGAAAAAAAGGAGAGGAAACTTCAAAGAAGGTGTGGGTGGTATATTTATTAATTGCCCTCCTTCACCTAACTCCCAATCAATTCTTCCCATGTCAGCATTGGGGACAGGTGGATTAAGTTCCGTCTAAATAACACTTTTATCCGAAAAGAGTAAAGAGTTTATGGTATTTAATTAACACCGGCTTAAGTCAATGATTCATTAAGTATTATTTAGGACAAAAATTAAGGTTTGAACTTTAACAGTCACACTGCGAAAATTATGTTTAAAGTGGACAGATTCTTTTGTATGCAACGATATTTAGTCCTGTCTGTTGAGCTATTGAGTCTTGTAATTTACATCCTCCCAAATACTCTGTTGAATTGGAATAGAGCCTTTAAAGTTGGGGATTTAATTTTTTAGGAGAAAAATCATACGGAGGTACTAAAATTTTATCTCTTTCAGTCTGACGTAGGACAGTCAAATGAGGACGCTTGTAATATGATGTTACCCAAAATATATTGATTTGTTTCCTGATGAATATACTTAAACATACATGTCTAGTCTAGATTAATTGACTCCTAAAAAATATTTTATTTATTTATTTGCATGAAGTTTTGCAGTATATTATTTGTTTCACGAATTGATGTATTTTGATGTTTAATTCGTTTAGTATCCCTTTACGGAATAATGTCAAAAAAAAAAAATAACTATATTATCTTTCTTGTTATAAACTATTTAATTTATTGGTGGAAATTAAAGCAGAAGTGTAGGAAGTCGCTAGGAAGGCCGTGAGAAATTTCTCTGTGGGTTCTTCTATTATAATAATTGTTCCCAAATTATTATGATAATAATTCTCTTATGATAATAATAGTAAGGGGAAAGGGGTGAGTGGGTGACGAGTGGATGGAGTGTTTTCATATTAAAAGCACATGAGGAGTATATTTAATGCAAAAATTAGGCACATCTTATTCAAAAAATATTCTTGCCAAGCAGAGAAGGGCAAATTATATCGTGGACGACGGTGCACAATGCACTGTGCTCTCTGGTCCGAAATGATGTCGTACGGTTTTTTTTTTTTTCTTTTTTGAAATCCCAATTAATTTTGGACTAACAATTCATTTTGGACTAACAATTCACATATAAGCAATGAACAATATGGGAATATTAAACAATTCTATGGAAGTGGTAACATTAACAAATCAAAAAACAGTAACAAATTTCATTAACCTCTCTACAAATATTGCATATGGTAGTGAAAAAACAATTATATTGTACAAAATTTTAAATTTGAATTATTCTCCACCACTTGTTAATTTTCCACCAACAAACCTCCAATGATCTTGGGAGTTACTTGCTAGTACACAAACCTCCAATGATCTTAGGAGTTACTTGCTAGTGCCTGGTTGCCTTGTTCTGGTTGCCTTGTTCACCACTTTGCTTGGCTACAACATTTACCATAATAAATTAAAGATAAAAAAAAAAACAGAAGAATAACTTAATTAAGCATACTTTCAAGTAGGGGTAACATGCTAAGCTACCTCGTAATAGAAGAAAATATATCAAATATGTATGTATGTACCTTTCTTATGTACCTTTCTTACGCAGTAGACTCCTCAACAACCTTTAATTTCCTCGTCTGAAATTGAATATCACCACCAAACATGTCGATATCATTCGGACTTATGCTATACTCTTTGGTAGGTTTTATGCCGTCATCAACCTTCTTTAGATAATTGAATAACTCAGAACCCGCGTAAGCATAAGCATTTTGCATAGTGGAGAGAGCAACCATAACCATAAAAAACACTACAACAAGCTTTTGGTTAGTAGCCATTGTTATGATACTCTGTGTATCTCTGGCTTTTTTTGCTTTTATTCCTTTTGCTCAGTAGTGTTTTTGGGTGATTATGGGAGACATGGGAATGGTTATTTATAGTGGCAATCATTGAATTTGATTATCCTAAGATTTGGTCAAAGGTAATCCAATATGTATGGGTTACCTTATGATTTTTCATTGTTTTAAGAGGAGATTTTAATGCTAAGACTACTGTTTAACTAGTGGACATCCTAAACTCAAGCAACAACACAACAAATAAAATAAAACAAAAATAAAAATGATTGATTTTCTTAATAATTTGTATAAGCCCTGAGCCCTATAAAGAGATATACATCATTTTTCTTTTTAAGTGACGAGGAATTCACAAATTAACAAAAGTCAAAATTTAATTTTTTAGAATTTGTAATTTATGATTTTAAAGTATTTCTTCAATAAACTATTGTGTTTTTAACATCTTTTCTTTTTAGGAATTATTATTCAATTTGGGCACTTGAATTATTATTTGTGTACGGCTTGGCAAAACTCTGGTTACGTTAGACTATATAGAATTTAAAAGCTTATTTTAACTACAAATAAGCTAAAAGCTCCGTTTCTAACAAGTTTAAAATAATAACTTATTTTAAAACAATCTTTCAAGTAGTGTTCAAAATTGACTTTTAATTTTAAAACAGTCTTTCAAGTTTGAAAATAATAGCTCATTAATTTACAAAAATAACACAATTTATCCTTATTTAATTTTTTACCGTGCTTGTTCATAAAGGTGAGGAATATTTAATTGAAAAGGAAAATATTTATCTATTTAAATATCTAACAAAGGGATAAGATTAAAACAAATAGATAATATGAAACAATATATTAAAACATTTCATCTTTAATCTATTTCATAACATATTTTAAAATACACAAAAATTAAATTCATCTTTAATCTATTTCATAACATATTTTAAGATACACAAAAATTAAATCCAAACCTTGCTATTTATTATAAGGTGCTAAATCATAAACTAAATGTGATATATATATATATATATATATATATATATATATATATATATATATATATATATATATATATATATATATATATATATATATATATATATATATATATATATATTCAGGTGCGGCGGTGTCTTACGGTGCGGCGATCTCTTACGGTGCGGCATCACCAATAGTTCAACAAATATGCACCATCAACGTTAGGAAAATACACCACAAAAAACAGAGTAGAGCCCTCCATCACTAAACACACATCATTAGGTGTGAGTAAAAACACCCTAAACTATTCGGAAATGCACCATTGGGGGTGGTGAGTTATATGGTATATTTTTTTGAGTCTGTTGTGTATTTTGTGATGTTTTATTGCATTTCATTGTGGTGTTTTTTTTTACACTGTTGGTGCATATTGTTAACACTGTTGGTGTATTCTGGAATTCCGCCGCACCGCCGCACGGGAAGACCCAGCCGCATTTGAACTTTATTCTATATATATATATATATATATATATATATATATATATATATATAGCTGTACTCATATTGATATTTCCATTCATCTAGCTTTCTTGTCTATTTAATTACTCCTAGACTTTGTGTGTGATTTGTTTTTGTGTTTAGCTATGGTTGGTTACTTCATTGGCCAGAAGGTTTAGCCGTTTAACTAACTGATTTAAACCAGACAGCACTAAACAAATCAAAGATATGCATGGCATCAGTCAGATGTTTGGCTGATCTAGTTAGGTAATTCACATATATAACTAATTAAGCCACTGATCGGGTTAGTTACGTTGTGTAATTGTATTGCTGTTGAATGAAGTATGGCTGAAATTATTTCTTTTAAAAAATACATCAGTCTACTAGCAGATGAAGAAGCTTGAATAAGGTCAAACAGTACAGTGTGCTGCATTATATTATTTGTTCCAGTTTATTGGAATTGTTCGTTTTGGTAGCAACTCATATAATGATTGTTTATGAATAGATGACTTTTTAGTTAATGATCGAGTTGTTTGTTGCAGTTTTAGTTGTTTCTTTCGTGTTGCAACTCAATCATTTCCTTAACTACAGAATACGTATCTTCACATCTAATTAATTTTTTTTTTTATTATTATTATAAGGAAGGGGATACCCTACATATACACAATATTGCCTCAACTGAGGTTCGAACCTTACACCTCTCACTTAGGTATTTAATTAATTTTATTGGTTTGTCCTTGTATTGTATTGTATTTTAATATATATATATATATATATATATATATATATATATATATATATATATATATATATATAATTTGCGTATCTTGACTTTTTTTTTTTTTTTTTTTTTTGTATATAATACGGTATATATGTATATATAATTTTCATTATAAATAAAATGGTAACTTAGCTTTCCGCTAGACACGCTCTGTAGCGGGTGTAGCGGAAAGTGTTTATTAAAAAAAATATGTGTATGCATGGCACTTTCACCGACACTGGAATGGGGAAACTCTTTTATAGATGTAGTGGATATGTTTTTTTTTTTTTTTTTTTATTTTACTTGTGATAAATAAATATATTTCTTATGCATTGATTTTTTGTGTAGTTGAACAAAAATACAAAAAAAAAAAATAAAAAATTAAACATAAATATCTACAACTTAATTATAATAGTACGTTCACATTTTTTTTTTTTTTGAAAAGTACGTTCACATGAATATTGTAAAATCATGTTTTCTTTCGATTGTAAAATATATAATAAAGTCAAACATTTTCTTAAAGTTAAGAATTGAAGTTAGGCTTCATGACCGAGGCTTAAAGATCTGGATGGCTCCTCCAATGGGGTGAGTAATTCTACATTAACTCTCAAATTATATTCCCATTTTACACTCCTGACATGATATGTATTGATTGCTTTATTTAGTAGGGGTTATGATGTTTATTTATTTATTTTTTCTCCAATCAAATTTGAACACGAACAAGAATACAAATTGGGAGTATAATTTGAAAGTATATGCACATGAAATATTTTTGAGGGCGATATAGTGTTCGGAGGTGGGCTAACATGTGGTGTTTTTGACATAGAGAGCTGAGCTTTCATTGGGTAGGCCCAGTGGCGGATCCAGAAAATTATTTGAGTGAGTAGGGGCGACTATTAAATGACGTTAGAAATGTCAATGACAAAATATCAAACAACCATAAATATATTTATGAGAAAATATAAAACATAATCAATTAGATAAAATAATTTGAATAAAAATATATTCATAAATACTTTTAAATTTTAATTTCTTTTAGTTAGATCGATTTTTCTAAATTAATTCGAATACAATAAGTATATTATAAACTTGTATACTACATTAATTAAATGATTTATAAAAACTAGACTAAAAGAGCATTTAATTTGTTAATTAAATGATTCATAAAAAGTAGACTAAAAATATTTAATTTATCTTGTTAAGAAATGAAAGATAAAAGATAATTAAGAGTGTTGCTAATGAGATTTGAACTCATGACATAAGCCTTTTAAAATATAAAATATGGAGTTCAACAAACTAAGTTACTCAAACTACTAATAGTTTCAACATAAATATAGATTTTATATAACATTTCAGCCTCTATATATATATATAGAACTGCCAAAAAAATACACACACACACATAAGGGGTGGGGTGGGGGGAATGGGGGCAGCTGTCCCACTGCCCCCACACTAGATCCGCACCTGGGTAGTCCTCGCCTTTTCACATATATTTTAGTTCATTGTATGTGGTGTTGCTTGAGTTTTGGATGTCGAATAATTTTTCATTCATTAATGAAAAGTAAAAAAAATTAAGTCTCATCCTAAACAACTCATAACCATAAGTTAATCCACACATGTTGGATAGCCTTCAAATTAATTGACCAATGCAAATCCACAGAATAACATATCCTTTGATCTCCACAAATATAATACTATAAATAACAATCCCCACACCTCTAAAGTATCGCCCACCTAAAACACTACAAAGCAAGCCAAGAAATAAAACAGAGTAAAAGCCATAAAAAAAATATATAAAAACATATTATAGAAATGGCTGTCAATCAAAAGCTTGTTACAGTGTTTTTTATGTTCATGGTTGTCTTCTCCTCTATGCATAATGTTTATGTTTACGCAGACTCTGATATATTTGGCGGTTGGTTAAAGAAGGTTGAAGAAAACGTAAAGCCTATTCAATTTCATTTGAAGAAATTAATGGTGGTTTATGATAAATCCACCACTATTAAACCCATTGATGCTCATGCTTTCCATGCAAACAAGATGAAGACAGACTCCGACATATTTGGGGATTGGTAACCAACTAACCAGACGTATATAATTTAGACTTAAGCGACAGGACAATCAGATACTAAAGAGTAACTCCCAAAATCATTGGGCTTGGTCAGATACTAAAGAGTAACTCCCAAAATCATTGGGCTTCGTCTGTGAGAAAACAATAGAGTAATGGAGTGATTCAAATCTTACATTTTATACAATATAATATATTCTTTTTTGTTTCACCACCAAATATAATATTTGTACGGATCATTAATGAAATTTGATATTCCCATTGCATTTTAATTTGATTTGTTACCTTCAACTTCTTAATTACCTAATGCATATATGCTCAATCTTTTACCCCAAAATTTTTGTGTATGAAACGAACAAATAGACCATAGAATTATTTAATTTCTCCCTTGTATCCTTACTAGCTAGTTTTACATTGATTTAATGCCCACCGTTTATATTTAATTAAGTAATTTAAAGTATATCAATGCAAGATTATTTAAGAGAAGTTCATTATAGATGACATTAAAATTAATATTTAATTTTCACTTTTCTAAATACTTAGGTAGTATAGTATTAGGTAGTAGTTTTGTTAATTCACTTTTGGATAGGTTTATCATTATTCCAAAAAGGCTGAACCCCAACCCTAAGGGCATTTGGGAGGATGTAAATCATGGTGACTCAACTGAGCGCACAAGAAGCCCCCTCACTTTGAGAGGTTGCTCCCACACTGTCGCTGGTGAGACTCAATCCCTGGTCATTATTCCAAAGTTTCACCTCTATGACCAGTTGAGCTACCCATGCGGGCTGGATAGGTTTATCATTGTTTCATTGCTTGTTGACCTTTTTTTTTTTTTTTTTTTTTTTTTTTGTAGTTGTGCTAATTTGTAAAAGGAATAAATTTAGTCTAGTCTAATTAGTTTTGTTACATTACATAAATAAATGCATGGAATCCCAAGTTCCCTTGACTGATATTTATTAAATTGTCATTTTTATGAATTGGACCCACTCACTATTACAAATAACACATTTAACATTGGTTTTTTGACACATTTAACGTTGATTTTTTTTCTGACGCCAAACTAGCAAACGTAATAAACAAAAGACACGATATTGGTTATTAAAACTAATGCCGCATATTTTGTTTTTAAAATTTTAAAAATAACATACGGTGTCGATTTTATTAAAATCCAAAGTTGTATATTATTTTAATTTTTTTAAACACGTCAGTTCTTAGTAAAAATTGACGTCATATATATATTTTTTTAAAAATTAAAATAATATACGATGTCGGTTTTTAGTAAAGTAATTTTTAATTTTTTAAAAAAAAAATAAACAACATCCTCTTTTATGTTTTTTATTTTATTTTTTTTTTAAAACTAACCTCATTTTTTATTTTTGTTTTTAATTATTAAATATATTTTATGATTTCCCACCCAAACCTGAACAATTTTACAATTCACGTCAATTTTCAGAACTTGTCCAACAATTTGACATTCAAAATCTCACAATTGATCAAACTAATAAATATCACAATTAATCTCAATAAGCGGTTTCAAAAAAATCTCAATAAGGAACTTAGACCATCAACTAAAGAAGTTAAATTAATAGTAATTCTACAATTGATAGTAATTAATAATAATAATTTCAAACTGAAATTATCAACATCAACTAAACATCATCAAGCATTGTTTTAACCCATTCATCAATAAGATACTTAGACCATAGGTCTCAAACTTCATCAATCTCATGTCAATTGTAGGTCTCTTGTCTCTTTAAATTCTACAAAGCTGAAAAGAGATAAGTATAATAAATAAGCTAGTATTTTAAAAAATTTGAAGGAGAAATATATTTTATTAAATTACTTGCCTTATTCATTCTTTTGTAATGTTGGTTGAAAACAATATTCAACATGAATTTCATCACATAATAACCACATTTGGTAGTTCCTCTTTGTAAGGCACACTACATTTGAATTACAATACAATTAAGAATTTTTATTTTTTTATAAAAAAACAAAAAGATATCTGTAGTTTTACAAAGTATATGAAATATTTACCAAACATATACTCCATTTTGGTTCACGACTTTGTTTACACAACAATTCCTAAAATGTGAAATATATAAACAATAATTTATAAAATCAAAATATATACATAGTAATTCATATGATTTGAAATATATGCATAATAATTTATAAAATTTAACATATATACATAATAGTTCATAAAATTTAATATATACACAAGACTCAACACATTAAATACAAAACTCACGCACATTAACATTACATACTCACGCACATTAAGTACAAAGCTCAGGCACATTAAGTACAAAGCTCACGCACATTAATCAACCGCACAACATCACGGGAAGCACCCAATCGCACTGGAACCCCACACACACACATACACACACACACACATATATATATATATATATATATATATATATATTACAACAATTACTAAGAAATTTAAAATTTTTTTAATTATATATTTTAGTTCTTTGTATGTGGTGTTGCTTGAGTTTTGGATGCCGAATAATTTTCCATTCATTAATGAAAAGTAAAAAAGATAAAGTCTCATCCCCTAAACAACTCATAACCACAAGTTAATCCACACATGTTGGATAGCCTTCAAATTAATTGACCAAATCCACAGAATAACATATCCTTTGATCTCCACTAACACTATAAATAACAATGGCCACACCTCTAAACAATCGCCCACCAAAAACACTACAAAGCAAGCCAAGAAATAAAACAGAGTAAAAGCCATAAAAAATATATAAAAACATATTATAGAAATGGCTGTCAATCAAAAGCTTGTTCTAGTGTTTTTTATGTTCATGGTTGTCTTCTCCTCTATGCATAATGTTTATGTTTACGCAGACTCTGATATATTTGGCGGTTGGTTAAAGAAGGTTGAAGAAAACGTAAAGCCTATTCAATTTCATTCGAGGAAATTAATGGTGATTTATGATAAATCCACCACTATTAAACCCATTGATGCTCGTGCTTTTCATGCAAACAAGATGAAGGCAATAAGCGAAATATATAATTCAGACTTTTCTATCATTAAGCGACATGTGCAATAAAGGCAACCAGATACTAAAGAGTAACTCCCAAAATCATTGGGCATGGTCTATGAGAAAATAATAGAGTAATGGAGTGATCCAAATCTTACATTTTGTACAATATAATATATTCTTTTTTTGTTTCACCACCAAATATAATATTTGTACGGATCATTAATGAAATTTGATATTCCCATTGCATTTTAATTGGATTTGTTACCTTCAACTTCTTAATTACCTAATGCATATATGGTCAATCTTTTACTCCAAAATTTTTGTGTATGAAACGAACAAATAGAGCATAGAATTATTTAATTTCTCCATTATATCCTTACTAGCTAGTTTTACATTGATTTAATGAGCACTGTTTATATTTAATTAAGTAATTTAAAGTACATTAATGCAAGATTATTTAAGAGAAGTTTATTATAGATGACATTAAAATTAATATTTAATTTGCATTTTTCTAAATACTTAGGTAGTATGGTATTAGGCAGTAGTTTTGTTAATTCACTTTTGGATAGGTTTATCATTGTTTCATTGCTTGTTCACCTTTTTTTTGTTTGTTTGTAGTTGTGCTAATTTGTAAAAGAAATAAATTTAGTCTAGTCTAATTAGTTTTGTTACATTACATAAATAAATGCATGGAATCCCCAGTTCCTTTGATTGATATTTATAAAATTGTAATTTTTATGAAATGGACCCACTCACTACTACAAATAACACTTTGAACGTCGGTTTTTTTTTTTTTTGACACATTTAAAGTTGATTTTTTTTTCTGACGCCAAACTAGCAAATGTAATAAACAAAAGACACGATATTTGTTATAAAAACTGATGTCGTATATATTTTTTTTAATTTTAAAAATAACATACGGTGTCGGTTTTATTAAAATCCAAAGTTGTATGTTATTTTAATTTTTTAAAACTAAATACGACGTCAGTTCTTAGTAAAAATTGACGTCATATATTTTTTTAAAAAAAATTAAAATAATATACAATGTCGATTTTTAGTAAAGTTATTTTTAAATTTTTTTAAAAAATAAACAGCACCCTCGTTTATGTTTTTTATTTAATTTTTTTTTGTAAAAAAAAACTGACCTCATTTTTTGTTTTTGTTTTTAATTATTAAATATATTTTATGATTTCCCACCCAAACATGAACAATTTTACAATTCACGTCAATTTTCAGAACTTGTCCAACAATTTGACATTCAAAATCTCACAATTGATCAAACTAATAAATATCACTATTAATCTCAATAAGCAACTTAAACCATCAACTAAAGAAGTTAAATTAATAGTAATTAATATTAATAATTTGAAACTGAAATTATCAACAACAACTAAACATCAAGCATTGTTTTAACACATTCATCAATAAGATACTTAGACCATAGGTCTCAAACTTCATCAATCTCTTGTCGATTGTAGGTCTCTTGTCTTTCTAAATTTTACAAAGTTGAAAGGAGATAAGTAATAAATAAGCTAGTATTTTAAAAAAATTGAAGGAGAAATATATTTTATTAAATTACTTGCCTTATTCATTCTTTTGTAATGTTGGTTGGAAACAATATTCAACATGAATTTCATCACATAATAACCACATTTGGTAGTTCCTCTTTGTAAGACACACTACATTTGAATTACAATACAATTAATAAATTTTTTTATAATAAAACAAAAATATATCTATAGTTTTACAAAGTATATGAAGTATTTACCAAACATGTACTCCATTTTGGTGCACGACTTTGTTTACACAACAATTCCTAAAATGTGAAATATATAAACAATAATTTATATAATCAAAATCTATCTATCAATATAATAAAGCAGTAACTTTCTACCAAAAATAGTTTCCCGCATATGCTATACTGCGTCGTTTTAAGCATTTAGTTATATGTGTCGAATTAATTGTGTCCACATGACTTTTGGGTTTCCAATGTGCATTATCCGGCTACTATGTTCGGATACCAAGTAAAATAGATAGACTTCTACTAATTGAAGAGTTCTAATGATAACATAAACCTAAATAAGTAAATATAAATTGATTTAAATATATACACCTACAGACATACAGATAGACACATACATATTTTACATCTGTATATATAGCATTAAATGCTTCGAAATAATCAGCTATTGATTGTGCTCTTGGAAAGTGAAAGGTTTCCAGCAGCTTCATGCTTCCAAGATAATATTCAAATTTCGAAATCTAATTTTACAGTCTATATAAACCTCTGTTGATATACATCTCCACTCCCCATTTGTCTATCTCTTCAGTTCGAAGTACCTGATCTGCAGTACATTTTTATTAAAGCCTCTAGATATTGAAGAGCAATACGAGTGAGTTGTGTTAGAGTTTATGAAACACCTGAAAGTAGAGGCTCTACACAGATCAAGAGTAGAGAATGTTTGGTATGCTATGAACAGGTAAACTCATTTTGTATAATTTTTGCTCACTGTTTATGAACAGGTAAACTCATTTTGTATAATTTTTGCTCACTGTTAGACTAATATTTGATGCTATGATGTTACCAAACTGTATTTGAATGCCTCTTATCAGGAAGTCGATGATTAAAGGTCAAAGTAAGTGTATATAATTTATTTTTTATCTGCAGTATTTATTAGCTACACTATTCAATATGGTTTCAGACTAAAGTATGGTACAGTATACACACTTAACATTTTGTATTTTATTTATAGTAGGTAAATCTGAATTTCATATTATTTGTTTATGTAGGATAACTGCTGTTCATAGTCCTTTAAGAAGTATCAGTACTGCAACAGTTATTGAATAGTCTAGATGGTATTTTTAATTTTTTTAAATTTTGGCTGCAGTTTGGAGACTACTGGGAGGCCTGTAAGATTGTTGGTATTAAATCTAACATATATGACTGGTACTATGACTCTTGCAAGTCTCAAGGATGTAACAAAGAACTGGATTTTAAAGATTGAATGTATTTGTGCAAAAAATGTAGTAGAAGTTGACTTGAGGATGTTTTAAGATTTAGGGTCAAAGTTCTGTGTCATTGGATGTTAATGGTAATGCAACTTTGTTAATTTGGGATTGTTAATGTGTTGAGCTTTTAGGTATGAAAGACGAAGAGATCAAATCTACTCAGCAAAAGGTGAGTACAGTGCTATTTTTCACTATATCTTAATTGATCTATACCTCTATACATAAATTGTATCTGTACTGTTAACTAAATTTGTTCTCATTTTTTAGGTGGTTAGAAAAATCCCCATAGAGCTTGAAAGTTTGGTAGGTCTTTGAATGTTATTTAAAATTGCTGTGAGGAAAGATCAATTTGTCAATCTACTTAATGCTTTTACTGTAATGCAAATTAAGATTGACTCATCTCTATTTGCTGTTTTCTGCCCTGGACTTCTTGATAGTAAGGATAAAGATTTGACTTCAAAGTTGGAACTTAAAGACGGTGATGTGGTGAGTTAAGTATTCAGTTTTGATAAAAATGTTTTATGTATATATGTTTAAGATTGCATTTTCTAACTCATTTTATGTTACATATTTAGGGATTTTTTTCTGACCATGAGGCATAGTGCCCCATTTTGAATGCTGACCAAGAAAGGACTGTTAAAGGAACCCAAAGTGATGTAGTTAAGAGATGCTTACTAGATTAATTTTCCAGTACAAAGTTCAATAAATTATTGATAAAGATGAAGTTCCTGTGGATGAATCAAAAATTTGATAACCATTTTTGTTTATCTGTGTTTCTTTGGAGGACAGTGCTTCTACATTGTTTGAGACTATTTGCTTTATTTCTACATGTTTGGGACTGTTTTAAACTTTTCTAAGTTGCTATTTTCTATTTTATTTAGGTTGGATTTTATATTTTATATTATCTGTTCTATTTTTTTCTTTGTTGGAAATCATTGAAAGGTAGAAGACAATCACAAGTGAAGACCTGTAGAAGTTTTTTTTTTTTTTTTTTTTTTTTTTTTTTTTTAAATAATGATGTATATCATCCAATATAGATTGTATTTAGGAATAGATTTGAGTAACACACTTAATCTAATAAAAACAAAAGTTACATAACAAAGGTCCCAAAACACTATAATGTTAGTAATGTTTAAGAACACTTACTTGACATTTCAAGGTGCCAAAGCATTTAAGCATACTTCCTATAATCGTTGTAGTCATATACTTAATGAAATTGTACCGTGATACTTGAAATATAAACGTTATGTGTTTTTATATGATAATTGAATAATGTACCAATTTAGTTAATTAATTAAGCTCGTTTATGCAAGTATAAATAATAACTGCAGAAAGCATAAATAAAATAAAAACACAAGGAAATTGTTACGCAGTTCGGAGCTCCTTCTCCTACGTCTGCGGGGCAACCCACGTCTGCCCAATCCACTATAGATGTTCACCAAAGGAGTATTACAAGAGGTAAATGAATACGGCCTCCAGCCTTTTACCACTACCACTCTTTCTAACACCTATCCAGGACTGACATACGAATACCCGAACAATCTTCACAAGTTGCTTCAGCAGTACCACGTACTGATCATGCAGTACAATATAAATATTCTTACGAATTAAATCAGAAATTACATTCAAAGTATAAATTGCTTTGTAAAATCAAGAGAGCTCTAGCAGTATATAATTCTCAAAGTTGGAAAATGCTTCCTTCGAACCGTGTGAATTTATAGCACTTCTTGAACCATTAGTTAGGATCCTTAGCAATAGCCTTTTCTGTAGCCACCACTTGTTCGAATGAATCTCCACCACTTATTCTTGTCCTTTTGAAAGCTTCTTCACAGATTAATTATACAAAGTATGCTAATCACTCATTTCATACTCACATGGTCCGTAAATAACTAAAACTAATTACACTCATTTATTTTTTACAACTAGTAAAACCAATTAAAATAGCCAACAGTGTAATTTTTATTTTACACTTACACTTAACATGACACAACATTAGTACCTGAAAATATACTGTTACAAAACATTATAAAAAGTAAGTAATTAAAAACAATTTAAGCCATAGCATTAGAAAACATCATAACTTAATCAGTCTAAATTAAATAAACAAATTAAAATGAAATTCTACCGGAAAATTTAATATTCAAAAAAGTTTAGAGTAACAAAATTCATCATTATTATGAAAGGCAATTCTTTAAAGCATCATATATATATAATTCGACTATATATTGAAAAAATCATTTACATGGTTAACTATTGCAGAGCTAAAAGAAAAAAATTAACTATACTAAATTAGATAATAAATTCATATACTACTTGAATACAATGTTCAGCTTAATAATCACATGGGACTATGATTACAAAAAGCGTATATCAACATCTTAAAAAATCAATACAAATATCAACTAAATCATATTAAGCTTTTAATTTTAGTTTTTCAAAAAAAAAAAAAAGCTTTTAATTTTAGAAGGGTGTCATAAATAGTCATGAGCCTGTTATATTTCCCAGGAAGAATTAACTATAACAACAGCTAATTAATAATAGCAATTCTAAATGCCAAGCTATAAAAGGAAAAACTACTCAAACAGTTCTAATCAAATAGCAGCAATAATCAGCTCAAAGTATGCTATACTGCAACAGTTCAAGAAATAAATAAATTGACAAGATCCTATGTTATAGGAAGCAATTGGAAATTTCAAATGAAAACAAAGCTAAATATAACTTTACTTTTATTTTCTTTTTACATCTATCAGTAGACATCATATGAATACGAAATCTACTTATTGAACAAATCACACACAAAATACTTAGCTTTCTTCAAATGCCTCTTTGAAGCTACTCATTCTGCAAAAAGTAAAAACAAAACCAAAAAGAAACAGTTAGAAACATTTGTGGGTAAAGAGAATAAAGAAAAAATTCATAGATCTACAACAATCAAGAAAAATAATCCCCATCCAAGTACGCCACCGTGAAATAAATTAGGCTACCAACGCATGCATTTCTAAATTTAAAGAAAAAAAATCATAGAGAGACGATTAAGTGAACCTACTGCTCATATCGTTTAATCTATTCAAAGATTATGTCTTTCTTAGACTTAAAATTGAAAAAATTCATAAAGATAATCTACAAATGCTTGGCTAAATTAAACGAATTAGATAGATTTGATAGATGGATTATACTTACAATGATTATTATCCCAGCATTCGTCTTCACTATTAGCTTAGATTTACGATAGTATGGTTGCCAGATTTGTGATGCTTTGAGAGTGGTTGCATAAAAAATCTGATAATAGAGAGAGAGAGAGAGAGAGAGAGAGAAAGAGAGAGCGACGGTGAGGATGCGAGATGAGTAGAAGAGGATGTGATAAACTTCCAGATCCGGTGAGGATGAGAGATGAGAAGAAGAGGATGAGGGATGAGTAGAAGAGGATGGGATAAACTTCCAGATCCGGTGAGGATGAGAGATGAGAAGAAGAGGATGAGGGATGAGTAGAAGAGGATGTGATAAACTTCCAGATCCTTCATCTGATTTTTATTATATATATATATATATATATATATATATATATATATATATATATATATATATATATATATATATATATATATATATATATATATATATATATATATATAGAGAGAGAGAGAGAGAGAGAGAGAGAGAGAGAGATTTTTCTATATATTTTATATCATAGGTACACTAGATTGTCTTTGAAGTTTAACATAAGACAATTTCCGTTAAGCTGTCATATGCAATGATCATAAATAAGAGTCAAGATAAACATTGTTGAAGGTTGGATTGCTATTAAAAGAAATCAGTATTTGTTCATGGTCATTTATATCATATATGTGACTGCATCAAGAATAAGTAATCTAGACGACCTAAAAAATATTACTTTGTTGTGAATCATAAAATAATTATACTTCTACTACTATTGTAGTTTACAAATAAGTTTTTAATAATTTGTAATTTAATCTTTCTTTCAATAATATTTCCTTTTTTTTTTTACAACAACAATTTATTTTTATTAAAATTGTATTTACCCCACTCAATAAAAGTTGGGTTCTATTTCTAATCTACTATAAAATATGTATTATAGTAAATTATATCTTGGTTTGGTGATAGCCCTTTCGTAGTATCTTGATTTTTTTGTTTTTTTGTTTTTTTTTTGTTTTTTTTTTTGTTTTGTTTTGTTTTGTTTTGTTTTGTTTGTTTGTTTGTTTGTTTTTTTTTTTTTTTTTTTTTTTTTTTTTTTTTTTTTTTTTTTTGCAGGAATCAAGCTATGTGAGTGCAGTTGAAGAGACCTAAAGAATATTAAAAAAAAAAAAAAAAGACAAGTTGTGCATCAAATTAATCAAAACAATGAAGAAATCAAGATTTATCAGATAAAAGAACAGTCTTGGTTCAACAAGAACAGGACAGTTAATAACACGAGATGTACCTTAGACTCGACAAACTAAATTCTAAGTCCAAAGTTCACAGTACAAGAACTATGGAGCTTTTAGTTGACGTGGAACTTAACTTTGTAAGTAAAAGTTAAGTGAGGAGCATGTAGATTGTACCAGATTGTAGATATCTCAAGCTTATGGTTAATCAACTGATAAAACTAATTATATCAAACTGCTCTAAGTATGAATTAAACTTACATGCCATTTCGGTGGTATGTCAGTCTTATTGATTAACCACCATACAACACTACTTAAAACACAAAACAAAAGTTAACACTAAATTAAATGATCAGAATTGCAATTTAAACAGTCAGAAAAAAAAAACTTTGTGATTCAAAATTATAGTAAAAGAAGTAAATTAACTCTAATTTAATTAGTAGTAACCTAATTTAAAGCATAAAGATGAAAACTTGCTGGTGGGGTGTGTAAGAATTCCTGTGATGGTTGTTTCCTGCCATAGTTCATTCAAAACCATAATTATGCTCCATAGGAGAAAGCAAAATACTAAGTACATACCACCAAAGTTAAAAAAAAAATATGAAAAAAATGTGATTCAAAAGGCATAGTAAAATAATGATATTATATCCCAAAAAAAAATGTGATTCAAAAGGCATAGAAAAATAATGATTTAAGGAACGGAATCATTTAAACCCTTTTGTTAAATAGAAAGTCTACTTTAAATAAATAAATAAAAAAAATCAAACCACCAAAATCAAAGTATTTTGGCGGATGTATGATTGCAGATAATGGAGACAATTCATCATTAACAAATATTGCAACTGAACTCTCACAATATGATAGTTCTAACATTTTTAGAAGATACTCGGTTAGATGCTATTCTACAAAAATAATACACCAATGAAGGCATTTTTTTTTTTTTGTATTTTGTGTTTGTTTTTGTCTATTATATAATTTATCTAAATTATATAAATTATGTAATGATTCACTTTTAATTTCAATTATTATTTACAGTTAATGAAGGTACTTTTAGTATACCCTTTAGTAGCCGTAACAAGTCACAAACTAAAGGCTCAAACAATTTCAAGCATTTTAGATTACTAGATTTAAAGACCGCAATATCAACATGATAGAAGCGATATATTACCGGGTAACTTTCTATACGCATATTTGATTTGTGGCGAAAAAGTACCAATTGTAAGTACAACTAAAAATGTTATGTACAAAAAAATTTTCAATACTGTGTAATAAAATTGTAATTTTTATCGTTTTAAAATTTTTAGATTTTCATATATTAAATTTTCTTCTTATTACCCTAAAAAAATTATCTTTTTATTATATTATACATATTCTATATATTATATATTATATATATGGCCGTGCACCTGAGTTGGACTCCCATATGGGAGATTGTGAGTTTGAGCCTCAGTCGAAGCGTTATTGGCTTTTTATAATAAAGGAATAAGGGTCAAATAGGCCACTCAACTGCACACCAAAGTACAATTAGGCCATTGAACTCAAAAAGAATGCAATTAAGCCATTGAACAACACAAAAATATGCAATTTAGCCCAAAATGACTTGTTTACCTAGAGTAGTAAGTTACCAATTTCAAAATTAATTTTTTAAAATAATTTTTAATAAATAAATAATTAAATTATTGTTAAAAAAAAAAAAACAAAAACTTCCGGCCGGAGACGATTCGTCTCTGGCCGGCTACGTCTCCGTGGCCGGAGACGGACCTCCGTCTCCAGCCATGGAGACAAAGACCTTCGTCTCCCTGGCCAGGGAGATGAAGGGACGGT